AAGTGGCAAGAAGGACTGGAGCTTCAGGGAGATCTGTGTATGGCTCTGTCTGCTCTCTCTGACGCAGAGACGGCGCAGCAGGTGGTGACGGCAATCGACGCCGCAGATCAACGCCAGACTAAAGCAGAGGAATGGATCGAAACTTGTCACGAAGGTTTCCCGAATATCGCTCTTGCTCACAAGTCAATTAAGGTAAGCTTTTGTTTTTGAGATCTTATATTTAAGTGATGGCATTGCTTTATGCCATTTTTGTTATTTTTTCCCAAAGTAACGCTATCATCTGACTGTTTCACTCATTTCAGTTACGACTGCTATTTGCCAAAGCACTGGAGATTATAACTGAAGGTGAAGAGGATGGTAGCTGTGCCCCCCTGCATTTGGCGGGGTCTAAACACAGCATACCCAAGAAAGTCACCGTCATTCATGAATTAGCATCAGTGAAGATCACGGTAGGAAAATGACTGTGTGCTCATGTTCTCCATGGTATAATGTAATAAATATTATCACTGATAAAAAGGCATCTTTTCTTTAATGTATTGCTGTCGTCCCGCAGGCGGAAAGCCTCCGCCGTCCCAACGGGTCGGTGAAGTCCCTGCTGGACGCCGGCGTGGTTTTTGCAGTGAAGAAGGACGAAGAAGGAAAGAATCGTTTTGCAAAAATATCGCTGAAAAACAACAAGACCGTTCTTCACCATCTGACTGACGTTGCTCCATCATCCACAAATGTTTATACCGTACAGGTGAGTTTTCCGCACATCATTATTGCAGGACTTATTGGTATGAATTTTTTCTTTCATTATCAAAAGTTAAAACATTACACACGGCGAATGTTTTATCGTTCAATCTTATTACGGTGTTTTCGCTTCAAAAACGTATGCTTTTGCCGAAGCAAGGCGTTAGGAGCCGAAGCCTTATCACTCTCTCTCCTTGCAGTATGACGAGATCAAGTCGCAGATGAACGCCTCCAACACCCTGACGTTCCTGGACCTGGTGTGGCCGGCCTCGACGCAGCGGCGACGCGTCCACATCCGACTGAGCCCCGAATCCGCGCGCGGCCGCCACTTCATCCTGATGTGCACGGGCGAGGAAGGGCCTTCGCTCGCCGACACCAATTTCCAGAAGGTCCTGCGCAAGGGCGGGCCCGGGGAGCTCGTGATGGCCGGGAGCTACTCGTGCGTGAAGGGCTCGGCCATCTTGCCCAACGGGGACAAGTACAAGAGGAAGGCCACGGCCGGCGTCGTGTTCGGAGTGCCTCACTGGGACAAGGTGTGGGACGCCCGCTACTACGGGGTCTTCCACATCGCCACCCGAGACTGCCCGAGCTCGTACTATTACACTGCTTTCGGCCAGGTGGAGACCGGCCTGGAGGCCTTGGTCGCAGCGACTGAGTTGGATGATATCACCTGCGTGAAAATAGCGGAGTGCGGCGTCGTGCTCTGAGGAGGAGGCGAGGCGACAGCTGGTGATGACGCCTGCATGAAACCACACCGCATTGTAGGGCTTTTCTTCCTGGGATCCTTGAGCACATTTGGTCCTTGTGCTTTCCCCGCACTATTAGTGATTTATATTGTATATTTTACGAAATAAATTCTTTATCGATTCACCCAACTTTTTCAAGGCATGAAAAAGACATTATTCCCATATATATATCGTCTTTACAAAAGAATGGCATTACGTATGATGTACTATCCATTCAACGAGCCTCTAGTAGTAGCTACATAACATAACAAGGCATAAATAGTCAGTCAATTAATGAGCATTATGAGACCCTCACACCCGTCACTACACTAACTCACTTTACATGCAGTATCAATAACCGGCATCGCCCGAAATTCGGCTAATGAATTAAATGTTGCAGAAGAGTTTTTGAATATTATCCGAAATCAGTGGTAAACAGATAATACAGCCCATCAGTGGACAATCCATCACTAGCATTGCCCACGTGATCTCGCAGTTATTAGTATTTCATGATAACGTCAGTGATGTAAGGTGTAATATGAGGTGCGAAACGGACCGAATGTGAACCCCATTAGAGCAACAATAATGGGAAGCAATAATGTAAAAAAAAAAAAACTTGTAAACAACCGCGATGTTTCAGTAGTTTACACTTTTACGCTTATCACGCGCATTTTCAGTCCGAAATGAACGTTGTGTGGCTTATTTTGTAGCTGAATAGATGTGTGGAAAGATGAAATAAGGATTTTGCAGTATTTCCATTTAATTCTTGTAAAAGTGACATAAAATATGGCCCCTTTTATGGTGTTCAAAACGTCGCCTACGCAAAATATCCACAAAAAAGTAGGTCGATTTCGAAAAATGTGCATCCGCCATGCAAGAGATCGGACTGTTCTATTCAGATATGAAATCAGAATGGTTGTGTTAATATTTTTTTTATTTTAGAGATTATTTCAGTGGTCAATGTACGCCGAGGAACACCCCAACTTTGTAGTCTGCAAAAGCTTCAAAATTTTAGCCACATGTCTAGTTTACATTATTGTTCAATCAAAATATAACCATTAAAGTCATTATTTTTCATCCTCTTTGAAAACTGAAGAAACCAAGATGATCGACTATATTCACATAGCATTTTTTGTGTGACTTTTGTGACGTCATCAAAATAAACCCTTTCTTTTCAAAAATAGATTGAGACGCCATGACACTTCGAGTTGTTACTGATCTAGCCTTTCCCGTTCTAAAATTCATCTATACAAAATATTCACAAACCAAAAACTGTCATAATAGAAGAAAATGCTTCATACAATCACTAGAGAAAAGGCTTTTCTGTTTGAAAATGAAACCAGAGGACCTACGGTATTTAGGGTGAATTTAGAGAATTTTTCAAAAATGGTCAATGTAGGCCTATAAACACCCCAAATCACGACTCTGAGATACTATTGCTAGGAATTTCCGCAATATTTGCAATGAAGGCAAATGATGGAGGATTATATTATAGGAAGATTAATCTTATACTTAATTTTGTTAATACCAAAACAGTTATGAAAATATAGGAAAACACAAAAAAATGCTATCTCGAAACAATGAAAAATAGATAATTCGAAAAAAGCCGGCCGCCTTAGGCCTATATGGTGAAAATTGAGTTAGTATCTGGGTCTGGAAATCGATGATTTATGTAGAACAATTTTCGATTTGGCGTGGCCATATTGGATACAAGATCTTTAAATGCAAGAAATGTACTATTGAAGTCCATATAATGAAAACTGAGTTGGTATATGGCCTGGAAAGCGCTGATTTATGAAGCACTATTTTCGGTTTGTGTTTGTGGTTGGCTGGACCTTAGTTATACAAAGAACATTTCTCATCAAAATATAAAATTAACATCCTACAAGCTCCGTTTCGGTGTTCTTAACAGTTCAGGAGACAATATTAGATATTGATGATTGTTTTTGAAGTGACTGCCTTTCTGTGAGTAAGTCCCTATTGCTCAAGGCAACAACAGTAGAGGCACTCACTTTATGAATCCTTTCTGTTTAGGAACTTTGCTCTCTCTCTCTCTCTCTCTCTCTCTCTCTCTCTCTCTCTCTCTCTCTCTCTCTCTCTCTCTCTCTCTCTCTCTCTCTCTCTCTCTCTCTCTCTCTCTCTCTCTCTCTCTCTCTCTCTCTCTCTCTCTCTCTCTCTCTCACACACACACACACACACACACACACACGCGCGCGCGCGCGCGCTCTTAAAATGTTTTTAAAGATAATCACAATAACAATAACAATTTAAACTTTTTCAAAATATTCTGAAAATGTAGCACGTGTGTTTTATGCAAGACCAACCGCTTCGCAACCAAGGGCTGTAAGTACATACACAAGTATAGCGGTGTAGTATGGTACATGATGCATGTTTTCTTTTTCAAAAAGACAAAAAACCTATACAGTTTCTCGGTAGATCATGTCATATCGCTATCGCTATTCCCAATTAAACACCCTATTGATCTATCGACCTCCACAAATTTTATCTTTGCGTCATAAATTTTGATCCAAAATTTCCATCTTTCAAATTAACACCATCTTTTGACCGCAAGCATTACTATCCTTGCGTCATAAATTTTGATCCAAAATTTAAATTTTTCAAGTCAACACCGCCATCTATTGACCGTAACTATTATTATTCTTGCGTTATAAATTTTGACCCAAAGTTTCCATAATTAAGTCAACACTGCCATCTATTGGCCGCAAGTATTACTATCCTTGTGTCATAAATTTTGACCTGGTGTCCAATCTTTCGAGTTAACACCGCCATCTATTGACCGCAATTAATACTATTGTAGTCAAACTTTTATCAAATTAACAACGCCATCTCTTGACCGTAAGTATTACTATTATTGTATAAAATTTTGATTCAGTTTCCATTATTATGCCAACACCGCCATCTATTGACCGCAAGTATTACTATCTTTGCGTCATAAATTTTGACCTAAAGTATCCAATCTTTCACGTTAACACCGCCATCTATTGACCGCAATTAATACTATCGTAATCAAACTTTTATCAGAAGTTTTCAGCTTTCAAATTAACTACGCCATCTCTTGACCGTAACTATTACTATTATTGCGTCACCAATTTTGACCCGAAGTTTCCATCTTTCAGCCTAACATTACCATCTATTGACCGCAAGTATTACTATCTTTGCGTCACAAACTTTGATCAGAAGTTGCCACTTTTCTGTCTTTCCCTTCTTTAAGACCAGAAGTGTCATCGTGATGTAAACAAAACTTATGAACCAAAACAGAGAAAGTGAGAAATATACCGGCAAGTGCAAAAAAAGAGATACAGCGTAAGAGGGGGAAAATGGGGTTTATTAAGTATATATTATTAACTTCCGTGTTAATAGGCCTGTTGAGTGTAGTTTTACATGAAAATTATCCCCTATCTATCTCTTTTTTAATGAAAAACAAGAATGTACGATCTGCGACCATGGCCATCCATAAGTTCATAAGAGACCTCTATCCAAGCAGTGAAAAGGGTGAGAAGGGACCAAACCCTGTGAAAGGAAGCAAGAAGCATAAGGAAAAGATATTCACAGAAGAGGAACTCAAGAATTACGATGGGAAGGAAGGGCGGAAGGGCCCCTATTTGGCCATTCTGGGAAGGGTCTACAATGTGAAGAAGGGGAAGCAGCATTATGGGGCTGGAGGAGGCTACGAGTTCTTTTCAGGTAGGGTTTGCGTAGGATTTGTGCTCTGGTCGGTTAAGTTTCAACCAGCCATCTTTGAGCAAGGAAGTGATGCATGACAGTGTGACTAAATCTAAGACACTTCTCTGTACTTCAATTTTACCCTTTTAATTAGCTGTAGGTTTTTATGTATTTATATATGCTCACTTGTGTTTCAAGCAATTTCCTTTACTGCAATATTTGACTGAAGTAAGGTAGAAGATTTGGTAATTGTTCAAACAATGACCATTCTTCTCTGAGAACAGGTCTCTATAACTCGTGCCAACAATAAATTTATATATTTCTAGGAATCTACAAACATCATCATATAAACCAAAACCTTCCAAACCCATTCCTTTTCACTATTTCCCCAGATGAGGCTCTACCCCAAGGCCCCATGCAATTGCCTTGAGTATTTCTATACAGCCTTCCATGATCTATTTTCTTAGTTTTTGTGTAAATATGTACTAGTTTCTGTTACTTATTTACTTTATTTATCATTATTTTTTTTTTTTATTTATTTACTTTATTTGTTATTAATATTGTTTTTACTTAGTTACTTTTTTTCTCTCTTCCTTTTTATTCTTCACTATGATTCCCATGTATTGTTTACCTTGCAAGTTGCGGTTGGATGAAATTAATCTATTGTGGCTTTTTGGTTATTTGTATTAGATCAGATCATATTATCATTATTGTTATTATATTATCATCACCATGTACATCATGTTTATATGTTTTTCTTCTTGGTTTTTAGGTCGGGATGCTAGTCGTGCTTTTGTCAGTGGAGACTTCTCAGAGGCAGGCTTGGTGGATGACGTTTCAGGGCTGTCGAACCCTGACTATATTGGCCTTGATGATTGGGTCAAATTTTATGAAAAAGACTACAAATATGTGGGTATGTTATATTGATCCAAGAAGGTGATATTGATAAGAAATGATATTCTGCAAATGACTTGAGCTAGAATTATTTGTTTAACCCCGTCGCTGGGCATGGCATGTACGTACATGCCTTTGCCATTGTGTGTGTTGAATTTAGTAATTGTTTTTACATATAGATGGCTCCACAAGTACTAAGTCGCCAATGAGCCATTTACATGAATATGTCTCACCTGTTTACCCTTTTCCTTAATTTTCGATATTTTTTAATATTTAATACTGCTGTTAGTAATGTCATTAACAATATAATAATTATAATGTTTATAACAAAAATAACAGTGTCAATATTGATACCATTAGTAAAAAAAAACATTTTTCCACTTTTTCAAGGAAAAGTGGTCGCAAGATTGACTAATTGACTCTTGTGGCAAAGCTTAGGCAGAGCCACCTACATGCAGAAACATTTAACCAAGTATTGCCAAAGGGAAGGCACCCTTTTCCCATTGACACTGGGTTAATTTTTGCAGTGTATCAGTGATTATCAAAAAGTGTGTGATATGATTTAGAATATTAAGATTAGTGTCTTTTGTGTTCTTTTGACAAGTGTCGATCTTAAGGAAGATCTTGTGTTAGTAACCAACAGTATTTTCGACTTGAACCCATAGGCTGTGATATTACTCAAGGTTTGTGTAGTATGTACTTTCAGGATAAATTCATAAGCATAATTATAAAAAAAACTAACAGATGTTCTTACTTTTTTCTTGCATAGGCAAGCTAATTGGCCGGTACTATAATGAACAGGGAGAGCCCACACAGTACAGTAATCTGGTGCAGCAGTGGATATCAGAGGCTTATGCACAGAAGGAGGACGAGAACCAGGAGAAGAGAATTTTCCCTCCATGCAACTCCGAATGGACACCAGAGGCAGGATCAAGAGTCTGGTGCACTACAAAGAGGTAGTCCAAGGTGTTTTTAGATCAGTAGATATAATGGATACATCCATTTGTCATGATTTATTTTACACATGTTTATTGGTATTTTACTAGCATGACTAGACAATACAAGTTCCTTAAGCAGTGGACAGTAAAATCCAATTATTTCTGTTTCTGTGAAAGTTACTTAGAAATATGAATCCAGAGGGCTTATCTTCAAACATATATGAGACATTTATGAATTATTACATGATGATGATTACCATATTCATAATTTGAGTTCTTGCTTTGGCAGCGGTGGAATACAGCGAGACTGGACGGGAGTTCCAAGGAAACTTTTCAGCCCTGGCCAGGGTAGGTCGAGGTGTGCTTGTGTAAAGAACTTTGGCGCACCATCACATGACCCAAATAGAAAACCCAATGATAATAGAGGAGATCTTGATAATCCAAATATACAGGAATATAAAGGATGTCCACCAGAGGAGACATCATGTTATATTAAAGAGAAATGAAAATGTGTTTAGCTCTTAGGA